GACCGTAAAACTCATACATGTTTTGTGTTTTTTAACATGTAACTGGTGGAATTTTGTTGCGTAAGTGTAAAAAAGCTTTGAAGAAGAAGGGGTGGAGTTTTAAAGTATATATGCAACTGAGGAATAAAGCTGGTCGAAGAGTTCAAAGACTGGTGGCCTTTCAGCAAGCCAATATGGTACACTGGCAGCACCATAAAAATCCAAAAACAGTAATTTGAAATTATAAATTATTGATTGCAGTTTGCAACTTTTACTTCAATTTATATCATTTGGTTTAGCTGCGATTTGCTCCACTCCTTAGAACACTGCAGTTCTTGAACATGACACTTCAAACTAGTTGTTGCAGCAAATATTCTCCCCTATTCCGAAGTTTATATCTAATCTTTGTTATCTGACAAAAAGGTTATGGTATTTATGTATGCGAATCAATGTTACCATGTCAGCGGCTGGTTGCGGTAATGTATCGAGATGGGGAGTAGCAAAAGTCACTCCTTTCTTTGTTTTCTACCTCCCCTCTGAAATAACTGGAACTTGTAGTTATTTGTTTATTCAGCTGAGGAAGAATACTTCTGGAACTGAACTCTTTAACAATTTTTGCATATGATATGCATATGTGAAGAATCTTGTGCATCAGTGGTTTTATGTGAATAAAGCAGAAAGGCATTTCAATAAATGGTTATGTTACATATGGATCGCTGATTTCCTTCACTTCATTTTTCTTTCATCCATCTCAATGATTTGTAAGAATTAGGGGAAAAAAAGGAACAGGAAAGAAGGGGAAGAAGTTTTTATTACAGTAATGATTGGTTTGAAAAATAACTGAAAGAAAAAATATTTTTTTGCACGAGACAAAAAACTAGGCGAAATATACAAACTTCCCATTAAAATTGCACTAAGGGAGAGAACGTAGTTTTTCTAATGAGATTTTAACAAAATTTCCGATTTTTTTTTTTTTTTTTGAGCTAGAAATGTGAACAGATTAAATGAGCACGTAGAAAAAATTAGGTAATAAAAAAATGCAGTAGTTCCAAATGTATATTTCAAAGTCATTGTTCTTTCCTGTTTATAAAAAACTTCATTATTGTAATGAGTAATTTGAGGGAACAAACAATGCTTCTTTGTTTTTTTCCTGTAATTTAATGAAAATGTTTCATTGTTTTATGTATTTAAAGTTTACGGTCAGTGTGAACTTTGATTATGAGAATGGCAATAAATTTATCATTAGAATCTTTGTTAATCCTTCCCTCTCTAGGTGTACATGTAGATTTTTCTAACTCAACAACACTGTCCAAGTCAGAAGTGAAACATATCAGTTGTGATAAAACTTGTAAAGAACACTTCAGAAATGAACGTTACTACAGCAATAGAAATAATGACCACAGAAGCAATAGGATGTGTGGTGGTCGTCATCAACCAAGAGATTTCCAGCTACGAGACCAGCTGTTCGCTCCTGAAAAGTAAAAGAGATTCTGCAATTTGGCTTGGTCTAATTTTCGCTCCAGGTTATTTTTTTTTT